ATATACATACTTTAACTCTAATAATACAATAAGTAACAACAATACAACTAATCAAAAACTATATGATATTTGTATAATTTATCCACCTTCAACATTTATAAAAGCCTAAATATCTATCAAACATTTTATATAAATTTTTCCTTACATTTTACTCTTAATTTTTTCCTACACTTTCTTCACTCTCAAATCAATACTTTCAACAAGAATCTTAAGTCAATACTTCCTTCTTCAAAGCTGGAAAAGTAATTTAGTTTATCAAATATGTTAAGACTTTCAACATACTATAAGTTCTTTACAGACATATAATCAAATATTAAACTAACTTCTTCCTATTCCATAATAAAATCTCACTTCCAGCATCATCAATTTAACCATCCTTTGGCTTATGAAGCTTATTCATCATTCCCTGCAGGTCTATTGTTGCAGATCTCTTTGGCCTCGCCCCTCCCACTGGTTCTGAAGTCGGTGAATATATTACAGTTTCCTTTTGTTGTTGTTCTCTTTCTTTACACCTATAAGCAGCATGAGTCATCCTTTGCTCCTTTGCATTCACTCCCACCTTTTGTTGAGTCTGAGGATCTCCTGTAGATAATGACATGGCCCCAGGCAATTCCACAACAAGTTGTTCCATCAAATCTTCCTGTGCTTTAGATGTTGATGATGATGACAAATCAGCTTTCAGGACTGATAAGTAAAAATGTCTAGCTTTCTGTACAGAGTTTAATCTGTATCTGGTCCCTTCAAAATTTACCACAATGCCCACAGGAATCTCCCATCTAAAAGGCATCTGCCGCTTCTTTAGGTCCTGAGCCAAAAAAGTAAAATCTTTTCTTCTTCTTAAAATCTTACAAGGTATTTCTTTTAAAAGTATAATGTCTTGTGCAGCAATTTGAAATCTCTGCTGATAAAAGAGCTGTCTAATTTCATTACGATGTACTCTTGTGGTGAAGTAAACAACCACATCTCTAGGTATGTTTCTCTGACGTGCAACCCAGGAATTGACTCTATAAATTTTTTCTATTTCTCCAAAGATCACCTCAGGGTTGCAATTCAATACCAGGGCCAAAGCTGTAACAATTTCCTCCTTAAGTTTCTCTTGTAGATCCTCTTTAAGCCCCCTGATTCTTAGGGCNTTCTCCACTAGATCATCCACCCTTCCCTCTACACGATCAATATGAATTGCTAGTCCTTCAAAAATATGTGATATATTTTCACAAAGTTCCTGATTTTTCTTATCCAAAAGTTCTTCTGTTTGTTTCACAGTTTGTAATGAGGACTTAGCTAAAGCCTCTTGCAAATCTTTAAGTGTAATGGAGGGAGGTGGTGATGGTGAGGGAGATCTAAGTTTTTGTTGATGAATTTGCACAACAGGAGAGGAAATAGCTGTTTTAGGCAATGCAGAAACTGACGTTTTGTAGCCATTCTGCCAAATTATTTTTAAAACCCACAAGAGCAAAAATTAACTTTAAAAAGCTTGACTTAAGAAAAGTTCTTTAAAATCCTTTAAAATGCATCATTCCACCACCGGAAAAAAAGTGAAAGTTTTCCTTTTGTTACAAAGAAACAACGCTTCCGCGGCCATTTTCTTCTCACTTTCACTTATAACAAATAGCGAAAGTCCCAATAAGATCTTTGAGTTAAAGTCACCATTTAACTAAAGCAGAAAAAGAAAATCCCCTGTCAGGTTCCGTCTGTTCAAAAGTTACTCACAAGCAGATACAAAGTAGCAGCAGTGGCAGCGACATCTAGCCTCGCTCCGAAGAGCGAAGACACTCCGAGCTGCGGAGAAGAGGTCCAGACTCCGGGGGAGTTCGTACCTACATCCCCCCAGGATCATTCCTGGGGGGACTAGAGAACTCAACCCCTATCTGAACCAAACTCACTCTCTCCCCTTCGCCCAGGGAGGGAGTTCCAAGCCGCAAAACAGCTGATCCGCGCTGTTTTGACAGCTCTGACGCAGTCCCGGGCAGGAGGCTGAGAAGAAAGCCTCCATCGGCGAAGTCTCGCCACCGGAAGTTCCTGTATTAATATTTATTGATCTCTTATGAATATCGGTCAATTTTTACCATGGCAAATGAAGAAAGACAATTCAGTCAGTGAAATACATCTCATCAATTTTACTGATTTCATTCCAAGTTTATTTTGAAGTGTAACCCTCCCATATTAAAATCAATGAACTTAAAGCTTACTTCATTTTCTTAAGTTGTTAGACTTGTGCATAAGAAACCAGAAAGACAAAGTCCTCCAGATGGTTTAGCTCATTTCCGGGAACATTTTCAAGTTTGCATAACAAAGAAATACAGGGTTGCCAAGTGATATCATTATCTGTTTTGCAGTAATTCAGAAGTGTTCTTGAGACTTCTCAGGCACTAGATTCATATCTGTCTTAAAGGACATTTATTATGACAGTTGCTATTTCCAGACAATCCAACCAGGACTTGACATTTCTAGATCTATTTTACTTTCAGAGAATGTGTCTGCTTTCACTGACAACAAAGCGTAGTCTTAAAGTTTCTGTTCTGGAGATTGAGCTGACATCCTTTCATCTCTCATTTAAATTTCAGTTGACATGTTTTGAGATAGTATGAAATATAACAGTGATGGCAAACCTTTTAGAGACTGAGTGCCCAAAAACTGGCCCCGCCCCTGCTCCACCCCCTGCTCCACCCCCACCCCACCCCCATCCTCTGCCCTGCCTGCCCGCAGGGCCACTCACCGCCTCCAGGGCCCGCCGCAGATCGCTCAGGCAGCCCAGCAGCGCTATGGCGGTCACGCCCTCTGCCCGTGCCCTGCAGCATCAGCTGTGCACAATGGGGTGTGAGGGCAGAGTCTTGTCTACGCTGCCTGGCTATGTCCTTGGCTGCGCTGCTGCGCGTGGGCCATGCTCAGGGGTGACTCTCTTTCAGGGGGGCTGCTGGAGAGGAGGGGGTCACGGGGGGAGGCGAGGCTGGGGCAATGGCACATGTGCCCACAGAGAGTGCTGCCTCTGGCACCCGTGCCATAGGTTCGCCACCACTGAAATATAAGGTCCAAATTAGCAATATTCAATTTCCATCCAGCCCAAAATATTGTCTAATAGATGTGGTCATTAATTTTTTCTAGCTCTCATTAAGAACTGCCCCAAGGGAGTTTATATCTTATACAGAAAAATAGTGACACAAACACATGCTAGCATTTATTAACTCTGAATCAAGTTTAATTCAAAATTATTGGATTTCCAATATGTTGGATGTAAATGTTTTCCAAATCTACCCTTGTTACAGTCAGCCCTTCTCTTCCTCCTCTCCTGTCTTTAAACAATAACAACAACAAAACAACACATAAGTAGCCAAACAATAGAAAGTAAAACAAAAAACCCTCACATTGATCATCATTCTGAAAGTTCCATTTTATATGGAGCAGGGTCTGCACTGTGAAATTACAATGTTGCTTTCCTCATTTTGTCCTTATAACTCCTCCACTAGCAATTGACCATTCCAGTAAGTTTCAGCTTTTGATGCACTTTTTCTAGAGCTAGCTGGGGACTGTATTTTTTCTATGGAATAGCAAGGATTGCAAACTGAGCAACAAATATTTTTCTTATTGTACTTTATGTCTTTTGAAGCAACTCTCAAAATTTCAGATTTGGAATACTTTTGATAAGAGATGAAATCTGGAATTTTGGTAAGCGATTCAAAATTCTGAAGATATTTTGATGTAGCATATTTTAACATTATGTTTAGATAGTGACATGCATTTTTATCTTAATTTTTTATGATCAAAAAGATATAATTTCTTAATGAACTGGTTAAATATCAGGGTGACTTTTTATTGGTAATTCATCATGATAAAAACAAATAACTTTATAGGTTTGATATTAATTCAAATTAATAGTTTTAAATATATTGACATGGTTCAAATTATCCACAACACAAAGCTTATCACCCACTTCATGCATTGCTTCTATCTCAATTGTCTGTGCAGTACTAGCAACAATTTGTAAGAACATCAAAACAGCAAAATTCAGTTAGCAGCTGGTCTCCAAAGCAAATATAAATTTCTGGATTCTTCATAAAATAATAAACAGTGATAATTTATTGATTATTCAAATATCCTGTCATACTATAAAGCAATAGTACTGAAGCAATAAACTTCAGACTGATGTGGCAAAGTAATAGGAATCTTATTCTTTAACAAAGGCCTGAGAGTAAAGTATTTTTTTCACTTATTTGAGAACAGGTCCACAATGGTACCCATCTCGCATAGGTCTGCGACTAGAACCTAGTAAGTATTCATTTTCCTATCAATATATTTTAAAGTCTCCTTTCCCTGAGGAAAATAATTCATTTCCCACATTACTACATACTGTATAGATTTAGATACACATATTTTCTGTTGGAAATTCTAAGTACATAAATATCTGTTTTGTACAGTACAGAAAATGCAATTCCAAAAAGTGAATCATTGGAATGTTTGTACATAGAATATAGAATGACAGGGTTGGAAGGAACCTTGGAAGTCTTTTAATTTTCAGGATATGGGAGCATTTTACTAAGCATTTGTTCCTAGATATTTATATTTGTAACCATCATAACAAAAACATCCCTCACACTCAATTGTCTAACAATGAATCAAGAAAAATAGTTTAGCAACATACTCTTTTCACTAATATTGGCAAGAGTTTATAAACAGTTGTCTACCTCTTTTAACTGATGGATGGTCAACTGGAATGTTTAAAAAGAGTTGAGATTCCCTCTTGGGGTTTCCATAGGAACCTCAAATACTTTTGATAATGGGGTAGGTGTGAAGAAACATATAAAGGATTCTAATTCACCTCTTCATTATTCATTCTTTGTCAAAGTGTTCTGTAAATGCAAACTAGGCTGATCAAACAGAATGCATATCCTTCCAACTGATCTATATAAGTATATTCCATGTTTATGGTGATCATTCCCTCCTAGCCTGTATGTACAAATGTGAAATATGTCACTCTGCCAATTTTCTTGCTGAAATTAGCAAATTGGGAATTATGTGAAAAGACTTCCTGAGAGAGTATATATAACTAACTACAGTCAAACTAGGAAAATAAAACACCAGACAGAAAGTATTAGAAACCATAAGATAAGTAAGAGTTGAGGAAACCCACACAGTCAGTATGGGGCATTCACAGTTCAGCAGATTCTTTGCCATATATGTACACAAAAAGACATGTCCAGAGAGACAAAAAGAAGGAAGAAAATTTGGGCTACAGTAGTTCCCCAGAGTTATTATCCAGGTTGAAACTGTTACCAGGGTGATTTCAGTTGCATTGACTCTATAGCATCTCTCAGCCTACTGACAACAAAGACCAGTGATAGTATAGACAACAAGTTAGGAATTTTATCTTTGTATTTCTTTGTATCTCTTGCTTTCCCTGGTTGCTTTTGTCTTCCTAGCACATTGATTTTTGATGCTCTCCCTGATGGAAATAGGTGGTTTTGTTTGACCAACTTTCCCCTACAATTCCACCATCTCTTCTTTTAATAATCCTTCCTTCTGTTAAAGTTACAGAAAACTGCTGCACTAAGTTATTGCTCAGGTTACATTTGTACTCTGCAGAAACACAAGTCAGAAAATACTATGGCTTATTAAAAGGCACTCAAGTACATACCTTATCCCTGACACACAATTACTATATCCCCATGCTTGCATTCAGTAGTGGTTTAGGGATTGCCGGTACATATATTATTTGACAATTTCATCTGGTATCATAGAAAAGCAAACATAGTATTTCATTTGTTAGGCTTTTTTATCAGAATTTCTTTCTGCTCATACATGTTAACAGGGAAATATTGTGCAAGATATAATTATATGTCTCCTGTTCTTGCTTTCTTTTTTAACAGATGGGCCCTATTTAAAAGATTCTGTTAATATAAAGAGTCTTGCAGCATCTTCTATTATTACACTGTATTTCACAGACATGGGACAGCAAGTGAGCTGGATAACAGTAAGTATATGTTTTCTAGAAGCACCGATATACACAGCCATATAATTCAGTTCTAAAACAGCTCATAGCTGCTTGATTCTTTTATTGTTTTTTTTCCTTTTGTTCAATCATGTCTGATTCTCAGAGACAGCCTGGACACATCCCTATTGTTTTTTTTTGCCATTGCCTTCTTCCTAGAGCTAAAGTTACCCAACTGGCTTTATGTCTAAGGCTGGACTAGATTAGACTAGACTAGAATTTAACTAATTCCTTAAATTTGTTTAGACAAGCAATTTATTTACTTGCTAGTTTGGTTATACACTTTGGCCTACTCAATCCAGTTCTGTTTGTCACTAAAAGATGCACCTTAATTTAGAACCTAAAGCCAAGGAATATGGAAAAACCATGTCCTTAGAAAACTAACTAAGAGGCAGATTCTCCTTAAGTAGTCTCACTATTTAAACTTAAATAGTCTCACTTCCCTACTACACTGGCTAGGGAATTCTGGGAGTTGAAGTCCACCCATCTTAAAGTTTCCAAGGTTGAGAAACACTGACTGAATAACTTACCTGATTGTGAGAGAATTTTTAATAAAAGAACCTAGCTTATCACAAGACCTTTCAAGAAGTAGACTTCAGCAATTAACTTCTTATGGTTAAAAAATCAGATGTACAAATCAGAAATCCCAATTCAAACATGACTTTCACAATGAACTAAATAGGCATAATATCTTTTCTTCGATGTTGTTTCAAAGGTGGTTTTTCAAAAGGCAACTGGACTGTTTTTTCCTTGAGGAAGATGTTTCGCTTCTTATCCAAGAAGTTTCTCCTTTTGAAAAAGCACCTTTGAGACATGTTTTTGTCAACCATCTGCAATATCCTGACCTTTCTTGTGATTACTGAGTAGTTTGTAACAAAATAATATTTTATGGGCAAATGATAATATAACTATTAAAGAAACCAGTTTTAAAATAAATGACAAAATATAAAAGGAATCAAAGAGAAGAATAGTCATCTTATGAATATATTACATGTTAACAAAATAAAAAGCAAAACCCCAAACATGTCAAAATATCTTTAAAATTATAATTAACTTTATAAATACTTTATAAATAATTATTATTATTTATAATAATTTTCAAACTGAAAGGTGAACAGACTTGCCTGATTCTCAAAAAAAAAACCACAGGTGAGATTAGGCATGGACTCTGATTTCATAAATTAAGAAAAGAGCATTGTGGTAAATGGCACATACCTATATGAATGAATGGATTCAAAGTTAGGCTACTGCCATGTTAGGTCATACCATGTGAAAATGCAGTTTATTGGAGGGTTGAATTAATCTTTTTAATGTCCATAGAAATTATTAATTTGTGAAAAGTTCTATTGACTTGCCAACATATATGTATATTAAAAAAACTTTCTCATTCCTATAGGCAGTATGTGTCTCCTTCAATCTCAATATGGGATGTAAATATAATATGATATATAATATGGCATGATAATTTTGACTGGTGTGGTCCAGTCTTCTCTGCCATTGCCTCTGGCCCCTGTAACATTCTTTCTCAGAGGTGAAGTGGGCCCCCACTTTCTTGGCCCTTCAGAAATGTCTCTTGAGGCTCACAAAAGCATGCAACCATGGCCTTAGTTAGCACCTTGAAATCCTCCTCTTATTTTGAACTTGAATTTTATCTAGTTTGACCACTAATTTAAAATTTATATATAGAATTTATGTTTCATATTTTACTTGTAGACTGATCAGAATCGCTCTATGACGATGATGGTGATTTTCTAAGTTTGAGATGTAAATAATATCTATATGTATAAATATGCATATGCATGTAACTATGGGTATATGTATATAATATCATATGACAAGATGAAGAAGACATTTAAAAAATAACCCGCTTTCTTTACAGAAGCATTCTAACCAGGTCACCAAAAGGTAGCTTTTATTTTTTACAGATTATCAAGTTTAAAATCAAATTGCCACTAACAGTAATCTCAGAAGAATTATAGAATATGATAAATGAAGAATAGACCATTCTAAATGAAATAGCAAAAAAATTGTTTTACTAAGATCAATTAAAATGATACATAGTGGGAATCAAGCTTCAGATTTTACAGAATTTTCTTAGGAAGAATGTTTCAAAAAGTTGATCATGGGGAAAAAACAAGACAATGTAAATATTAGACCAGATGTCACAGCCAAAAGATCTTTTGCTAAGCTTTCAGTAGTTCAATGCATTTGTTAGAGAAAGGTACATTAGGTATCTAATTTCATCCAGCATACAAAGCTTTCCCCAGTTCTGAAAACACAAAAGCCATTGGTCCCCAATTTTTTTTTTACTGCTAACCAAAAATGCTGAGTCATTACTATCACTGTAGGATGAATCTGAATGAATCAGCCAGGCATATGAAGTTTGTGGTCTAAACTGAATATTCACTCTGGTATTCATGGAATCAAGCGACACATTCCTGTCCTACTTCTATCTCTCAGTCATGTATAAATAGATGATATATAGAAGCATACTTATCATTCAGTACATTTTGTATCAGCTGGATTTGACCTCTTTCATGAAAATTCAACCTGCTTCAATACTTTCAATTGTAGGAAACCAAGACAAGAGTATTAAATAATATAGGATGCAGATATTTTTATTTTTGAAAAAAATGAGAGCAATAAGTAACTATGACAGGGATCTAAAGTGGACCAGCATTTAAATATGAGCCAGAAGTCCTGCCAAAAAGGCCAATATAGTCTTAAGTTGCATCAATAGATGATTAGCATTAAGTGATAGTGATAGTACTGCTTTTTACTGCAACATTGAGGCCACACTTGGAATGCTGTGTTCTGGTCACAGTTATACAAAAAAAGATGCTGGGAGTATAGAACAGTGGTTCTCAACCTTCCTAATGCCGCGACCCTTTAATACAGTTCCTCATGTTGTGGTGACCCCCAACCATAAAATTATTTTCGTTGCTACTTCATAACTGTAATTTTGCTACTGTTATGAATTATAATGTAAATATCTGATATGCAGGATGTATTTTCATTGTTACAAATTGAACATAATTAAAGCATAGTGATTAATCACAAAAACAATATGTAATTATATATTGTGAAATATTTATTTCTAATTACAAATAAATGAAATTTTGTCTTGAAGCATGATGTAGCATGGGTAGCAGTCTTAATATAACAACAGTAAACTACATTGCTACATTTTGCGACAGTATGCGTAAAAAGCCAACCCACAGGTTGAGAACCGCTAGTTTAATGCATCCAGCAGTAAACTAAAGGAGGGGAGGGGGCTAGCTTTGCATGGCACCTAATCCCCTCCCTGCAAAAGAAAAAAAAACCCGAAGCCTAAAATGATGGCCAATAACTTTAGCAAATAACACAAATAGAGTCAGCAGGATCCTATCCCGGATGGAGACCAACTGGGTTAATGTGAAAGACAGTTTTTACCAGGGAATCCTCAAGGATAAAGAGATTCTGCCTTAGGTATAGGTCTCCAGGTGGGATAGATTTGGCTGGAGGGGGGGGGGTGGAGAGGGAATTTCAACAAAAGCCTCCCAATCTTAAACCCTCAGACCTCTCCAAAGGGTTTTTTCCTGAAACTCGTGAGATCTTTTTCTCATTTTACATTCTCTTCCTGATGGAAAGAAACTATTTTCTAAAAAAAGTAGGCTTTGTTTTTCTCTGCAGAAAAAGTAAGGCGGGGAGAGCCTGCACTGGAAAAATCGAGGGGGATCACACAGTCTGAATCTGGCAGAAGTCTGGGTATGCTGCCTTCTTTTGACAACTCCCCCTCCCCTCTTTTGCATATTGGAGGGGCCAGGGATAAATTCTATTAAAGCTGCCCAACAATGCGAGGAGCTGTCAATCAAAACCACTAGATCTGCACCTTCTGTCTGCTTCCTGTAGATGTGTAACTAAGGGCGATGGCGTATAGGTGATCAGATTTTCTTTCTGCAAAGCCGTCCTAGGCCTCTAAATCTCTTTTTTCCCCCTTCTTTTTTTGGAGCCTTTGAAAAGCATTTTGAGCAAATAAAACAAGCTGCTCTCCAACTTTTCTCCCCCACCTTCTGTTAGGGGGCATCAAATTCATCCGATCTTCTCCTCTTGAATATTATTTCTCTCGCGTTCCTAAACAGACTCTTCCTATGATTTCTTTCTTTCTTTTTTTTAATATGCCATTTATTCGTTGATATTTGAAGGTAATACATCTGGGAGGTTAAAAAGTTTGAGCACACTATTAAACGACCAAGCCTTTGCCTATTTAATAAGGGGTTGAAAAACCCAGACACCCGACCCTCCGGGGCTTTTTTCTTGCCGGCTGCTTGAGCAGAAAAGCAGCCGAACCTCTCCGGTGGGTCTTTCCCTTCTTCCTAGGACCCCCCCCCCATCAACTCTCCCCTCCCCCGGCTCAGAAAAGCCGAAGAAGCGCAGAAAGATTCCCCGCCTGAGAAGGACTTTTTTTTTTTTTTAAATGCCCAGCAACAACTATTGGCTTGAAGATCCCCCGGCTGCTATTTTTAAAAAGCCGAGAAGAGGGAAAGAAAAGAAAAAAAGAGAGACTAGGACTTTTTTTTTGCACTAAAAAAAGAGGGAGAAGGAAGGGGGAAAAAGGGAAATTCTCCCCAGCAGCTGGCTGGTCTGGCAGCGGTGCTGGTGATGGAGCAAAGGGGAATCGGGACCCCGCGCAAAGCTCTCCAGCCTTCCCGGGCTTCAGTATGGGGGTCCCTTTCCTTTGCAAGTTGAAAGGAAAGGAGGGGAGGGGGAAAAAGTCGGGGTTCAGGAGGCCCCGCCTCTTTCTTTTCAGCCCGGCTGTCTGGCTGGCTGACTCAGCTTACTTGCTGGCTGGGGCTCGCTGACTCTTCCTCTCCCGCCCCCCATCGCCTTTGCTTTCGTGACGTCGCCGCCTTTGATTTGAGTGCTTTTCAAAAATCGGGCTTGATCCGCGCCAATCAGTTCCTAAGACCATCGGAAATATGTGTTTTCCGATGGTCTTAGGCGACCCCTGTGAAAGGGTCATTCGACCCCCAAAGGGGTCGCAACCCACAGGTTGAGAACAGCTGGTATAGAAAGTGTGCAGAGAAGCTAAATATGTCTAGCATATCAAAGAGAAGGATTGGAGGTGATGTGGTTACTGTCTTCCATTATTTGAGGGGCTGTCACAGAGAAGAGGGGTAGACTTATTCCCCATAACACTTGAGGGAAGGACAAGAAGCAATGGGTTGCTTCTCATTGATCTCTCATTAAAGAGAAATCCAACCTAGAAGCAATGAGAAATTTCCTGACAGTGAGAAGAATTAATCTTCTTGCCTCCCGGAGTTGTGGCTGCTAGAGGTTTTCAAGAATAACCTGGACAACATTTTGTCCAGGATAGAGAACTTGAGCAGCAATAGACTAGAAGACTTCCAAGCTCATTTTCAGCCTTCTGATTATATTATTCTTTCCTATTCTCATCTTTACTATCTTTAAAAGGGGCATGGGAAAAATATTTTGAAATTTGACTATGGCAAACTCTTCAAAGTCTTCAGTTGAAAATGGAGAATTAAGATCTGTAAACAGTTCGGCATCTCTATTAACTTCATCCTTTTATATAAAAAGAATTATATAATTCTTTTATATACAATTCTTTTTATATAAATTATAAAAAAAGAAAAAGCATTTGCAGTCATTTTTATGCTTCTATACCATAAATGATTGCTGAAACTTGATGTGGTCTTTACTTTTAAATGGTTTCAAATTTAATTTTGGTGCTCCAAAAATTCAAATGACATTTTGAATTGAATTTTGGCTGTATCATAGTTCAAATCTAAATCAGATGTTAGGTATTTTTCACATTCTTACTCATTTATCATCAAAAGAACATTAAGCAAGGATTCCTTCCTCCTCTCCTTCCTCCCTTTCTTCCCTCCCTCCCTGCTATTTTATATCTCTACTTTCTTTCTCTTTCCTCCCTTCCTTGCTCTTTCTCTCCCTTCCTCCCTCTTTCCCTCCTTCTCCAGATTTCTACAGTTTAGTGCTATAGCTTCAACTCTTTTGGAAGACAAATTTGAATGCTACTTAGATTCTTGGTTTAATTCAAAATGTAATAAGAAATTTTCTACATTAGATAAATTCTACATTTAATTCCTTTTAGCAATTGTATTCAATCTTTTCAACTCAAGATACACAGCTCTTTTGCAGGACATTTGGACCACAAACCTGGAATTCTGTGACATAACATGTGGCTGGGAGTTACAAGCAGAAATGGAGGCAGTCTGTCCCTGGTGATATCACAGAGGTGGAGATCTGGCTACACAGCTATACACCACTTTCTGATATTTGCTTGTGACTTTCTGATACAGCATATCTGCAGATCTTTTGTGGCACATAACTGTTCCATGGAAGAACAGTTGAAATCCTTTGCTCTAAAGTCATATTTTTAGTTGTCAAATTTTCTTCTTAGCAACAACAACTTGTTATATGATTGTAACTCTGTCTCATTGATTCAAACAAGATATTTGAAGTGAATATCAATTTCTATTAATATTATTACTGCTGCATATTTTTATGTAAAAACTGTGTTTTGACTGTACCTACTAAACTCTTGTATCTGTAAACTTTTACTGGATGAAATGGTGCATCATAGGACAAGTTGTTTTCAACCAAGATATCTAAATCAATAACTGAATAGAGACCATAATTCCTATACTGCATCTACTAATCCCTCAGATGAGAGGGATTTATTTGGATAACCTATTAGAGAGTCAATATTGTACAGAGGCTTTCTGACAGTATTTGGGAATTCATAGTAAATTTAGCATCAAAGTCACCAGCTGACTTTGAGGCGGGCAATAAGTGGATTACTCCATCAATCTTTGCACTTTAATTTGTCCCATAGTAAGCTGTTAATACATCTGCTGGCCTAGTGCTTGGGACAAAGTAAAACCTGTCTACAATGAAGGAGCAAATTTAGATTGCCCTACTTTGTGGGGTTTCACGGATTAGAGCAAGGAGGTGTCATAATCTTTTGGCTTTTCTGAAAGAGCTATAAAACATTTCTCAGGAATATAGCCCTTATCTTACTGTTCTTGTTATATTAACCAATCTTTCTCTGTTCCCTTTTTATTTTTGTTTTTTCAGGTTTTCCTAACTGAATATACAGGTCCTCTTCTAATCTATCTGTTGTTTTATTTTCGCTTCTCAACTATTTATGATGCAAAAGAAAGTGCAAGATGTTTACGCCATCCTGTAGTTCAGTAAGTAAGAATGCCTGCATTTAATATTTATTTATATAGATACATAAATGTGTGCACAACACACATACCCAGATACAGAGAGAAAGAGAGAGACAGAAAGTAACAGAAAGAAACAACTGGCTGTCAGATTTTGTTACTCTTTGGAATATATTTTCAGTCCCTCTTGGAAAAAGCTAACATTTCTTTTATGTAGTGAACTATGAATACAAACCCAATACCTTTATTAATATTGGCAGTTACTGGCTGTCTATGATGTCACCTTCTTTTCCACGTTTTATTTCTCCTGAAAGTAGTTTTCTATTCATATTCTCCTCTTACATTTGAAATTTGCCTAATGTTATTTGATCTTCCACAAATATGCAAAAATTTCTATTCAGAAAATATTTTGTACATTATAGGAAATTCTATCATCCTCCCTCTCTTATCTATCTATTTTAAATCTTAAAGGGGAAAACAACCCAAGAAGCTTGGGAAAAGAATATGATTATAAATGCCCAGTCCATCACAATACTACTGGAAAGGAAAAATAAGAAATCCAAGAAGAAAAAATCATGGTTACACAATTCTCTGACAAACTGAAAGACAAAAAAGATAAATATAAAAAATGGAAAGTGGGACATATAACTAAGGCAGAATACCAACAAATAAGCCTGAACTTGCAAAGATGAAGTCAGGAAAGCTAAGCTCAAAATGAAGTAAGACTTGCAACTAATATCAAAAACAATAAAAAAAGTTTCTTTCAACATATAAAAAAAACAAAAAAAGTCAAGGAAACAATTGGCCTACTAATGGCAAATGATGGCAAAGAAATAACAGGCAGTAGAGAAAAAAACAGAGCTGCTTAACTCATTATTTGCATCAGTCTTCACACAAAAAGAAAATCTAGCTCAACCTAACAAAAACATAACACTAAAAGTGTGTCTAGAAACACAAGTTAAAATAGGCAAGAAAATAGTAAGTGAGTTCAAATCACCAGGACCAGATGAATTACACCCCAAGGCTCTGAAGGAACTGGCAGATGTAATCTTAGAACCACTGAACTATATTTTTCAAATATCCTGGAGCACGGGGGAACTATCAGAGGTTTGGAAAAGAGCTGATGTGGTCCCCATTTTCAAAAAAGGAAACCAGGAAACTACAGACCAATCAGCCTGACATCAATACCTGGGAAGATACTGGAAAGATAACAACAGATTTACAAGCGTCTAGAAACAAACAAAGTTATAACTAGTAGCCCACATGGGTTTGTCAAAAACAGATCATGCCAAACCAATCTTATTTCATTCTTTGACAGTGACTAAACTAGTGGACCAGAAAAATGCTGTGGAAATAGTATACCTAGACTTCAGTAAGGCATTTGACAAAGTAGACCACAACTTACTTCTTAGTAAAGTAGAAAAGTGTGAGATAACATCACTATCAGATGGATTGTTAGCTGGTTGATAAATCATATTCAACATGTAATCCTTAATGGAACTACTTCTACATGGAAGGAAGGTCCAGTACTCTTTAATAGCTTCATAAATGATTTAGATGAAGGAATAAAAGGAAAACTCATCAAATTTACAGATGACACCAAACTAGCAGGAATAGCCAATACCCCAGAAAATAGGCTTAAAATCCAGATGGATCTTCATAGACTTAAACACTGGGAAATTCAGTGTAGAAAAAAGTAAGGTTTTACACTTAGGCAAGAAAACCCAAATGTACAGGTACAGACTAGATGAAACTTGGCTCAACAGCAGTAACTGCGAGAGGAATCTTGGAGTCCTTGTAGACTTTAACTTAAATATGAGCCAGCTATCAAAAGGCCAACACAATTCTAGGCTTTTGTATTAACAGAGCGATAGAATCAAGATCACGAGAAGTAATGTTACTGCTTTATAATGCCTTGGTAAGACCATACTTGGAATACAGCATCCAATTTTGGTCACCTAAATATAAAACAGATGTTGAGGCTCTAAAAAGAATGCAGAAAAGAGCATGTCTGGGGGGCTGAAAGCTAAAACATAGGAAGAGGTTTTGCAGGAATTGGGTATGTCTAGTCTAGTGAAAAGAAGAACTAGGGCTGACATGATAGCAGTGTTCTAATATTTGAGGGGCTGCCACAAAAACCTATTTTCCAAAGCACCAGAACACAAGACAAGAAGCAATGGATGGAAACTAATCAAAGAGAGAAAACATAGAACTAAAGAGAAACTTCCCGACAGTAAGAACAATCAACCAGAGGAATAACTTTCCTTCAGAAATTATGGATGCTCCAACACTGGAGGCTTTTAAGTATTGGGTCTCCTGCTTGAGCAAGGGGTAGGACTAGAAGACCTCCAAGATCTCTTTCAACTCTGTTATTCTGTTATTTCATTGAAAAAGCACACCCCAAAACTGAGGTATAAACTGGGTATCAGCTGCATAGTGATTATACTGAACTCTGAATGAATGAACCTTTATTATTTTAATAGCATCAGCCGCGACTATTGTGTATATGTATATGTATGTGCATGTGTATATGCATATTATTTTATTCAGAACAAAGTTAACATGCAAAATATAACACTAAATAAAAATCCCAAAAGGCATAAAAGAAAAGAAAACACAAAACACAAAGCAATCAAAACATTAAAGAGGTGCATCACTACCACACAGCACATTATACACATATTATCCCTTCTAGCTGAATACTGATTAATATATTACTACAATATTAGTTCCCATTCTTACGAAACAGGCCCTCCCAAAATTTTAAACTACTAAATCTATTAATAATTTGTTGACCTGTTTTCTATATGTTACATTAGTGATAACAGGAAAAGCAATAATAGTAAAACAGAACTAAATTAAAGTTTCCAATCTTCCTGCTTGACAGGAAGGTGGATATGTCCAGTGACTTTTCAATCGCTTCCAGAGGGAATTGGAATTTTCAAGAACACCCCCCCAACTTCCTCACTGGGCCCACCATTGTTAAAAAGTCGCTTTGGGCCACTCCTAAGTGCTCCCATTCAAAACCAGGAAACAGAACTGCCAAAGAAGCATCTTTAGCAGTGAAATCAGCAGATTATCGGTAAGAGAAAAATGAAACTCTTACCGTGCAGCAGCCATCTTGAAAGGGGCCAGCTGTCACTATTGTTTTTGAACACTCTTAGAGTGACCTTGACCAAAGAAGTATCTAAGTTCAAATTAATAAAAATAAATTCTAAATAGTTATATATCTGAATTTTGAAATAATATCTTTGGGAAGTGTGTTTGTACGTACACATTGTGAATATGATGAAAGATGAGATTAATATGGTTGTCTTTTTCCATATTCTATTCTCTTAAAAAGCTATTCTAATGCCCTGTATTTTTGAAGTCATAATTATAACAAACTAGGTAACAATTAACTGAAATATATTGCGCTTTTAAATGATAAAACTGCATGGACTTTTTTGTTAATTCAAATCATGCATGTGTATTTTAACTGTTGCAGAACCACATAGGTCAAATAGTTCCAATGCATGTCTTCTCTGCAATTTCTATCCCAGTCTATAAATACAAATGAACATAACAAAAACTAGATGAAATAAAATACTTTCAGCAACTTTTAGTAGTTATAATCAAGTTAAATAAGATGGCTAAGTTGAATTCAGTTGATAAATTGGATAAGTTGAATTTTTAAGTTGGCTAAAGTTTCTCCATTTAATAACAGTACTTCAAAATTATGTCTTCATAATTATTTCATAATTATGTCTTCAAAATATTTCATCTGCATGACCTTTTTAATGAAAAAAACTCAGCATTATAATAATCTCCATTTTTCAAAATCAGAGTGATTTCCTATAGGCTATTTAGCAAACTGATCATAAACAGAGCAAGTTATTTAGATTCTTTGCTACAATAGATTAGATTTGAGCCTACAATAGCATCAGATTTTTTAAAATGTTTATTTCTTACTCTTGATTATTTCTGCAGTTTGGCCTGCATCTGTCACTGTTTACATTATATCAGGCTTCTTCTGGAAACTCTCTTTGTGCACAAGATTTCAGAAGGACATACACCACTGAAAAATATGATCAAGGTGATTAACATTCACAAAATATTCTATAGAAATTAATAAGCATTAAAAAGGTATTATCAGCCTGTGTGTTGCATTTCTGTCCTACTTTCCAAGATTTTCATGTGGTGCATTAGATTCTATCACAACAACCCTCCAACTTAGGTTAGGCTAAGAGAAAATGATAGGTAGAAGTCAGCAAATTATCCTGAGAACTTAATTGTAGGCAGTGTATTTATGTGTGTTTTATATATATAAAATGATGGATGGATGGATGGCAGACAGATAGGCAGACAGATAGACATGTGTATATACATACAACAGCATATGAAATATACATATCAAGATTTTCTTTATCTTAGCATTCAAAACACTTTTTTTGTTTTTAATCATTCTGACCTGAACAATCCATGAAGATTACTGAAAAGCAATAATATGATAGCTTCAGGCAATAAGGACAAATGCTTAACAAAACTTAACGCAATAAGATACTCAGTTTCTATTTCTCTGCAATCATTGCTCTATTTCCTTTTGGAATACAAACCATAAAAACTACAAAATTTTTAAAGAAAAGAATCTCTTCTGTATTGTTATAAACTATTATTTTTTTTTTTTATAAACTTTAACACTAATTACAGGCTATATTTCATTTTTTCTTTTCAGTTGAGATTTTTTTTCTTTCAATCTTTTATTTAACTGTTATTCTTTTATACATCTTTGGATTACAAGTTATATCTAGAGGGAAACCTCATATGCATTTGAAGCTAGCCACAAGAGGAATCAAAAGACTAACATTTAAGAATTGTAATTTGGGAATTATTAATTTTTTTTATTTTTTTCAATTTTTGGAAGCTGAAAATATTTGAAATGTTTAATTTTTAGATAAACTTTTAGAATTTTTAACATTTTTGAAAAATTATTTTAAAGTTTTGAAAATGTTTGAAATGTTTAATTTTTAAGTGAACTAGTCATGAAAAAAAATAGTCATGGAAAAAGAGACTGATGCTGTTGTGATTTGCAAAATATGTTCCATGTAATATGTTCCTGTCCATAGAATACCCAAATTACACTTGTACCAAATGTAAACTAAATGAAATACTTAAAGAAAAATTAAAGCATCTAGAGGCAACTCTAGCCACTCTGGGACTCAGTCTACAAAACAGGAAACTCCAACCAAAGGAAGAAGACTTTATCCAAACATAGTAACAACTATTAAAAGAAATGAACCTATTACATGAACTTTTAGAGGTAGATCAATGGCAACACATCACTCATAGAAGAGAACAAAAACCAAGAACAAATGTTCCTGCTGTCTAGTGCAGCCCAGTACAGTGAAGCCCTGCTGGAGCTGAGCAATTGATTTCATATCCTCGCCCCCCCTTGAAGAAAGTATACAGACACTTGGAGAAGGGACATCATTAAGTGTTCCCATATCTGCAAGAAAACTAGCCCAAGGGGGGGGGAAGGCATGTGATAGAAGATTCACTTCTCAGAGGAACAGAATCAGCATTTGTAAGTCAGGCAACCAATCTAGGGAAGTATCTTGTCTCCCAGGTGCAAAAATCAAACATGTGATTGAGGGCCTTACTAAGATAATCAAGCCCATAGATTACTATCCCTTTCATGTGGAGACTAGGGATACAACAATGAACCTGAAAACAATACCAGGAAACTATGAGCAGCTCAGCATAAAAGCCAAAGAGGAGCACAAGTCATGTTTTCATATGTATTTCCAATGGAAGGTCAACATCCAATGAGGAAACAAAGGATTTTAGAAATTTTGGAAATAATTTATTTTAGAAATAACCCACTGGCTTAAGGGTTGGTGCCATCAAGAGAAATTTGGATTACTAGGCCATGGTCTATATATTACTTACATTAATGGCTTCTGGTAGGAAATGGACTGTACCTCACAATAACCAGGAAGAATATATTTGGAAAATGTTATGTTTCTAGTTCGGTGAGGCATTGACGAGGCGAATGGTGCAAACAACAACTCTTTATTCAGTTAACAACAGAAAACCCCTAACAGCTGCTTAAGCAGTATTTATATTGCTCACTACTAGGCGGCAGCCAATAAAATTGATGCAGTTTTTCCCGCTTAAAGACAAGCTAATTAACATGTAGACAGTCAGTCTGGAGCTTAAACAGGTGCAGCCGTTTGACCGTTTCCAACAGTTTCCAAGTAATTAACCTCAATACATAACACCCCTTCCCCCTAGATAGTTCATAATGACAAATATTGAACACAGTCCTGTAAATATTTTGGTGGCCTTCTTGACCATTCTGAGTGCCTTGGCCTCACTGTAGGCCCCCAGTCTACTAGCTCGCCTGCCAGGCTGGGTAGACCGGGGCTTTGAGACCCATTTGCTATGGGTAGACCTGAGTTTCTGTGGCTGGTCTGTCTGGGTAGATCCAAGCCAGTGTCCTTTGGTGGAATGGTTTCCACCAGGCAGGAAATCGGAGCCGTCTGCCGGAATTGCTCAGTGGGTGCAGTCTCTGTGTTTGGGGCCAACTCGCCGTCTGCTAGTGCCCCTCTCCTGGGAGTCTCGCCTTCACTCAATGACTCCGATGCACGGCTGCTGTTGTGCTCCCCCTGAATTTGACTTTCGCGAGAGTCATGAGCCAGCAGCTGGTTCACTAGCCTCCTGCGCAGTTGGTCAATGTGCCTTTGGGCACGCAACCATCTTCCAGGACCATGTCATGAGAGAGTGGCCCTGGCACCTTACCAACCACAGCTACCACCCACAGTGCCCCTTGCCCGTAGTTCCAAACCCAAACCGGGTCGCCAACTTGCAATCTCTGCAGTGGCATTGGCTGTGCTGATTCCGATGCAACTCGGTCTGGATGCAGATGGTCCAGCTTAGTGATTAAGTGATGGCCCCATCTTAATTCTGCTGGGCTTCTGCCCGTGGAAGTGCAGGGAGTCGTGCGTTGGCAGAGTAAAAAATCGTCTAACCTATTATTATTATTATTATTATTAATTTGATTTATATACCACCCTTCTCCCGAAGGACTCAGGGCGGTGCACAGCATATTAAAAACAAGTAACAATAAAATACCAAAATAAAATAAATAAATACCAAAATAAAAACCCCTCTAAAACCAAATTAAAAGCCAAATATTAGTAGCTGTGTCGTAATTAAAATTATATTAAAATCATCCCTAACTAAAATCCTCCCTAGGTCAGGCCCGCTTGNCGGAGGTAACCAGGTCCAATGCCATGGAGCGTTTTAAAGGTGGTAACTAACACCTTAAAACGCACCCGGAAGACCACTGGTAGCCAGTGCAGCTCGCGCAAGAGCGGTGTTACATGGGAGCGACGAGTCCCTCCCATCACCGCCCGCGCGGCCGCATTCTGGACCAGTTGGAGTCTCCGGGTGCTCCTCAAAGGGAGTCAGTTGCCGGTTACGATCCTTTTTAAGGACTCTTTGGTCGTTCGGACCATGCGTTCTGCTTGGCCGTTTGAGGCTGGGTGAAAAGGGGCCAAAGTGGCATGCCTGATTATATTAGCCCTCAAAAAGGACTGGAATTCTGTAGCAGTAAATTGAGCCCCATTGTCTGAGACTAACCCATGTGTGGCAAAGATCCTGCGCAGTTCCTGGATGGTCCTGGCAGTAATAGTTGGGACAGGTGTGACCTCTAACCACTTAGAGTGACTGTCCACGACAATGAGGAACAGCTGTCCCTGAAAAGGTCCCGCTAAATCTATGTGGATTCTTGACCACAGGGCTTGTGTTGTTTCCCATCGATGGACGGGGACTTGCAGCATTTCTGGCCAGGATTGCTGGCAAATGTAGCAGCTGTGTACTTGGGCCTCAATACCTTTATCTAATCCTGGCCACCAGGGTAGCTTCTTGTGAGTGCCTTCATCCGGACTATTCCCGGATGTCTCTCGTGCAGAGACTCTAGTACCCTGGGCCTTAAGGAGTGCGGGACTATGACACGACTTCCCCACAAAATGCAGCCTTTGTGAGCTGATAGCTCATCCTTCCTCCTAGAGAAGCTCTGAAAAGTAGGCCCTGGACTCATGTCTGGCCATCCTGTGAGCACCCAATTCAACACGGGGAGTCTTTAGGACCTAATCCCAAGTGTAAATCCCAAACAACCAATCAAACATGTAGATAGGGAGTGGTGAGAAAGAAGAAAACTAAGATATAAAACAGGAGACGTAGGAAGCAAAACTGGGGTCAGATGTTTATATACCAATATTCAAAGTATGAGGAACAAATAGGGTGAACCTGAAGTACTAATACATGAGGGCACAGATGATATACTGTAGATGTCTTTACTGAAACTTGGTGGGATGAAACTCATAATTGGAATGTACTGCTACAAAGATATAAACCAGGGGTGTCAAACTTCTGGCCCATAGGCCAGTTTCATCATACCGAAGCCGCACCCACCTCATTGCCGGCAATACAAAAAGAATTGTGACACATCGCAACACGTCACATGACATGACGAGTTTGACCCCCGTGATATAAACTGTTCAAAAGAAACAGACCTAACAAAAGAGGAGGTCTTTCGGTGATATCAATCGTCACCTGGCCGCACACACACAGCAGCGTTGCGGCCTTTAGGCTGCATTAACAGAATCAAGATCATGTGAAGTGTTATTACCACTTTATAATGCCTTGGTGAGACCACATTTGGAATATTGCATCTAGTTTTGATCATCACAATATAAAAAAGACATTGAGGCTCTAGATAGAATGCAGAGAAGAGCATCAAAGATGATTACAGGACTGGAGACTAAACCATATGAAGAAAGGTTACAGGAATTAGATATATCTTGTCCAATCAAAAGAAGGATAAGGGGTGATATGATGGTAGTGTTCCAATATTTGAGGAGCTGCTACAAAGAGGAGGGTGTCAACCTATTCTCCAAAGCACCTGAAGGCAGAAGAAGAAACAATGGATGGAAACTAATCAAGGAAAGAACCAACCTAGAAACAAAGAAAAACTTCCTGACAGAACAATTAATCAGTGAAATGGCTTGCCTTCAGAAGTTGGGGGATGCT